ATATATATATATGCGCGTGTGTTTATATATATACACACACATATAAAAAGGTGACATTGCGTTAACTGGTCCCCAGTATCTCTAAAACCAAAAGATTTTCATCCCTCTCTAAGTTTAGAGAATTTATATTTTCATTAATTTTAATCTTACATCAGCAAGGATTAAATTAGTCTTTTTCGCTTACAGCTACCAAAATAGTTACGAGACAGTAACTTGGACGAAAAAACTGCCATTGTGCATATTCAACACAAGACAGAATAAAACACTCTTTAGAACTCAGCTTTTTAAACTATTTTGTCTAGTTTATTATTTGCAAAGATGTCAAACAATAACATGAACTTGGGTTTTCATTTTCACTAAACTCACAAGTTTTGAATAAAAAAAGTTGCTTGAAATTATCCTCAAGGTAACTGAAGAAGAGATATGACATTGTACAATTAAATTCTACAAGAAATTAGAACGTCATGCTATTTTGCTAAATAGTTAGTGTGAAAATACACAAAATAAAGTCTACCGCATAAAAAAAGCATCTGATCAGGAAATTGATACCACACAGGTAGAGGTAACTAATTCTGCGCTAAACCTCAGTTTGCTACAGTTACGGGAATTCTGAGAAGAGGCATATGGCAAAAACAGCTGATTTGTTTCTGTGAAGCCATTTATTTACTTCACACAATCAAAACTAAAGGCTATCAATAAACAAAGACAGGGACATGACTGCTCTCTGCAAATACATCAAGGGGATAAACACCAGTTTGAAGCTAACAGACAACACTGGAACAAGAATAAACGGGGATAAGTTAGACATAAGTAAGTTTAGGCTGGAAATTAGAAAACACTTCTAATCACCAGAGCAGGAGATTCTGGAAAAGCATCGTGATGGAAAAGTAGGGGGCAGAAAGAAAGGAACAGAACCAACAAAAAGCCTTTCCTTCCAGGAAGCAGCTCGACTGGCTGTGAGAGGGAACGCCTTGGGCTCGCCAAGCAGAGTGCCGCAGAGGTCTCCTCCAGTCCTACGCTCTTAGGTAAAACATGCTACCGCTGGTACCCCAGATGAAGTGACTGCAGTGGTAACTATGCACAGAAAAGTCAGAGTAAGGGAAGGCTTTTCTGCGGTAGTTACGATGGGTCATACTTACAGCAACAGAGGCCCACTGCCATGCAAAACAGTGACTGGTTGGCATCTGACCATGTGAGCGACAGCAGCCAATATAGAACGAACGGAAAATAAGAAGCAGAAGACAAAGCACCACCAATCAATGTCAGAGTTGCCGTTACAACACCCCTGCTATTTTCTCAACAGATCAATATATACATGTAAAAAGTTAAACATGTTGTAGCTTTCAACAAAAGGTATTTTGATCATTTGCTTTCATTTGAGAAGCCAGTAGGAATATTTTAATGTATCATTTTAGGCCTTCTTCTAAAACATCAACCAAGTTCACTTGACACATCAAAAGTCCTAAACGGAAAGTTCAGAAGAAAGGCAACGCAGCTACACATGAACTTACTAAAAAAATTTGGATGAACTACAAAGTTGAATTTACTCAAGACTTTTTCCAAGACAACCAAGAAGATTGACTTTACTTCATAATGTTTTTACTTTGTTGCTGTCACCAAGACCAAACAGTCAACTTGCTCAACAGAAAGCAAGCAAGACAAATGAAGAGAAGAGATACTCATGCCAATCGTGGTAAAAGCATTGCAGTTTTCAGATGTTATCTTCACATACAGAATGCTTTTGGTTTTCAGATTAAACAGGAACGGACATATTACCTAGCTATCCACACAGCAAGAAAGCTTAAAATGAACAGTTTGCCACAGAGGACAGTTACAGAAGAAATACTTCTATGTTGCCAGTTTAAAAGCAGTATGAAAATGGAGAAACATACATCACTAACTGACTAGAAACAGTTAGTCAATACACCAAAACCTGCAAAGTTTACAGAGCATGTATGGCTCTCTGTTGCTTTTTGGATTGCAATGTTCTCCCCCCCTCTAGTTTCCAGTCTAAAGTTAATGAATAAAAAAGCAGGAATGGAATGGAGACACAGGAGAAACAAGAGGTTTGTGTTTTAATAGCTTCTTTAGAAGCCTTACCGGAGTCATGCGAATTGCTGGATGCGTCCCACAGCCCTGAATAGCTTTGTGAAGCGTCTCGCTGAACATGCTGCGAAGCTCCACGGAATGGCAGTACACAGCATCGATCTTGGGCCACCAGTCCAACGCAGACTGGAATGAAAACACAGAAATGCTCAAATGTTAAACTGGTAAGATATGAGTGAGACTGTGATTTTAGACCTCTAAAAGTTACAAAAGCTGAGTACAACTAACCTTTACATAGCATAAGAATTTTACACAGTATTAACGCTATGTTAATTTTGCATTCTCATCATAAAACTTGTAATATTTAAATGAGTTGTAACAGAAATAGTACTTCCAACTTAGCTGCTCACTGTATTGCTCTTCTTTCTGAACAAGCACAAACTCTGAAACCATAAATGCAGGAAGCCATGGTAGATACTGATGCTAGTATTCAGGATACTGAATGCTAGTAAGTAATACTTCAAAACAAACATTGCGATACACTAAACGAAATGGAAAAACTGGTATTTTAAGTGCTCGATAATATCTGAAAAGCTGTATTACTCCACCACATCTACAGTGGCATCTTCTCCCCTATTTGTCGAAGTGCCTTATAGTCTTTTTTTATAAATATAGCATTTTCATTACAATGTTGGGATAAATGAAATAGAGACTGTTATGTAAATTAAGTAAGGCTGGTTGCTCAACACTGACTGATTCTATTTTCATACTGAGCAGGGAAGTAATTCTGAACAGTATGAAAGTTAAAGTCATATTTTAGTAACTTAAAGTACAATAACAAATTTAAGATGAACAACTGCTCAAACTTGCAAAATATTTTTGGCACTCAGCATTTACTACAATTTTACACTATTTAAATTCATACTGGATCAAATCCCCAAGCAAAACCACGAGGCCAGTGCTTCCCCTAAGTTCCCATGTCAATATACCAGAAGTAGCACCAGATGGTGTAAAACTATGCATGTCCTGAGAGTGTTTTTCATGTATCAATACAGCAGTACACATTATAAAACCAGAGAACTTCAGTTTCGTTTGTCATCCTACATTCAAGGGTATTAGAACATATTTGTACTGAAATTTTATACTGGAATACAAGTTCTCAAGCTGGGAATCCAACTGGTGGACAGTGCAAACAAAGATTTGTATGTCCTTCCTTATTAGCAAGCAACTCTTGCTGCATGGATACAGGCAAAAAGATTTGGTCTACTATTCAAATTGTATTTAATAAGTAGATATTGATCTGAATAGAAGCCACAGATTGCTGGGCTGATTAAATACTTTCAGAACTTACATTTGTGATTATTCGATGCAGCGAATTTACCAGTACGTAATGAAACGTTGATGGGGAATTCTGTGCCAAGCAGATCTACAATAAAAATACATAAAAGCCACTTAGGAACATCTTTGTCTTTGGCATCTTTCTTATCACATTGAGTGACATACTGGAGCCTTTTTATTAAAGCTGTCAAATCTAAACAAGAGGAAGTGTAATCACTTAAGAAAACATTTGTAAAAACATGCAGGGATTTATTACTAAGGGATATTTATGCAGTTGAACTTATTTATGTGCTTCCAGCTGCTGTTAGCACATCTTTTATAATTGTCAGGTCATCAATAGTATGCGGAGAATGGCTTACCAGTAAGTAGCATTCTCACCTTAAAGTGCTGGTTATTATGAGGGTTTATGCGGAAGCAGGAAACTAAGCAGTCAATCATAAGGTCTACATCTGCATTTTGATTGCCTCTTGAAAAAGGTTTGCTTGGATTAAACAGCAAATTCTGTATTTTTCAAAAAAAAAAAAAAACAAAACACATACATACATAAATCAGATACCAAGATTATTCTTCTCTGATTTCAATACAAAACTTTCCATTGAAGAACACTATGGTATTCAATTAAGGAGAAATTCAAAGTTTATTTCAGTATTTTAAAATTCAAATTTCTTCACTGCAATTAGGAAACAGACATTACCTTCAGATCTACTACCATGGACTGCACTAGTAAGAAAATGACAGAATTATCTTCCCAGTTGATGTAGGTAGATGCTTTGCACAGTTTAACACAAGCAATAGCAGCACTTTCAGTCAGCTGTCTGCTCCCACTGTGGCCTGCGAGTGCTTTCCTGAGATTGTCCAGGAACAGTTTCTGCAGAATTCAAACCAGGAATAATTATAACCAGTAATCTGTGGTCAGGGTTTGTAGATTCTTAAATATTAAAACCAAACAACAGTGCATTTTCTGATCTGAAATCATGGATTTTGGGATTGCAAAAAACAACTTGATGCCACATTCTGGAAAAATGTTATGTTTATTAAAGACATTCATTTTGAACAATCTAGGACAATCAGAATGGCACAAAGATAGAGGGTCCTTTACTCTTAAGCATAATGTTTGTAGCCACAGCAAATTCAACATCTGCTACAGGTACTGCAACTATGGAACACACAGCACATGCACTGCAGAAACCCCGAACAGTGCAATACAGGCCAGCTGGAAGCAATGCTGTTTGCTACTGGGGAGGCCGGGGAAATCACATTGCTTGGATTCAAATCTCCATGAAAATGTAAAAGTTCTGAAATAACATTGTTTGGGACATACTCTTTGTATGAATTAATGACAATGAAAGAACATATGTTAGGTGAGAACTTAAAAAGGCTGCAGAAATTTACAGATGGAATTGCAACACGCTTTTTAGGCAGAAAAGACAAAATAAAATATACCTCAAATACAGAATAAGCAAAACCAAGCATACTCAAGAAATCAGAACCAGAATTCAGACACTTTTCTTCTCTTACCTTGTTCATTTTAGTTTCCTCTACCACATCCTTTGCTATATCTTGGATTATCTCCGGACACAGGACCAGGAGTATGATTTGCAGTGGCCAAACTGCTGCTTTACGTTTTGTGCTTTCAGCAAAGCCATCCACTAAGTCAAACAACTTCTCTGCACAATCTGCATAAAATATAACCCTAAGTTCAATACCAATTTTAATTCTGAAAAGGTAAAGCATACGTCTAAAAGAGAAGGAAATCTCCACCTACACAGAAAAAAAGTTCTGTTTTGCACATTACTGGCATGCTACTGGGGATAAAATGGTCTCAGCCCAGTTAAAGACATGGTTTACCTGAAAATATAAATTTTCTTCTCTTTTTTGACTAGAGACAAATACAGGTGATGTTCTCTAAGTTGGTTTTTTTTTCCTGTATCAAGATGAAAAATAAGTATTTAAAGAGTTCCCACTTTTTGGGGTTTATTTCTTTGTGTTGTGAACCACAAAACGAATCTCTTTAAAAAGTGAGTCAGGAGAGAGAAGAGATAGCAATATATCCTTGCCTGCCCTGAGAAAGGTTGATAGAAATTTGTTTCTTATTTGCAGGCTGCACAAGAAGCAGAGAGGGCACAAAATGCAAGTGAATGTGGGGATCTCTGAGAAATCAACTTTTGAACACCATGTCACTTGTTATGCCTTACCAGCCATATCAGTCTGTGGTGTTTGATACAGCTTTGTGAATTCGTCAGGATAGTTTTCCACCCAGTTCCAAAATGCCTGCAGATAATGCAAAACACCTTTACATTCCAGAACTTAAAAATATTTTTTCTGAATTATGTATTTAAATGAAGAGAGATTGTACTCTTACTTCTAATCACTCGACATTTCTTGCAGAGTATATATGCATCGAACGGATGCACCAACTTCCATTTTATACTAAATTACTGAATTGCAACTATTACTATACTAGAGAAAGTCTGCAAATAAGCAATGAATCAGAAGATAAATATTAAAAAACTCACCTTTTCAAGACTATTGATAACAGCTAACTGAGCTACTTTCTTAAGGGCTTTAAACTTGAATACAGTCTCTGTAAAAGTAAAACATTTCTGCATTTAGAAAACAAACTTGGTTCTAAAAAGCAACACAGATTATAAAATTCAATTATAAGATTTGAAGTGCAAAGCAATTTTTAAACCAATGTCTTTATGCTGCTTCAGAATTTTAAATCTTTTGGTAAATATATGACTATTTGGAGTAAAACACAGCAATAAAAAGATACACATATCAACATCACTGTGCCATCTCTAACTCAGATATATATCTTTTATATTCAGATAAAAGTATTTCAAGACACAGGCTCAAATCATACCTTGCAAGAGTCGTTTCAGTTTTGAACAATCCACACTGATGTACTGTAAAAGTTCAATATCATGAACATCAGCATTATCTTCTGAACAAACAGTCAGTTCCTGTAATCTAAAAATACGCAAAGTAAACTAACTTCTCAATCAGATTACGTCAGACAGGTATGAGCACATACCTGCGATTCTATACATTTGAACAGCAAGAGAATATTATATGACCTCTTATAATACGATCTCCTCAGATAAACTTTTCCTGGTATAAAAATGAAAGATGGATCTTGCATGATTAAGAGTTAATATTATAGTCTTATTCCATCCTCATACTGAAAATGGATCTAAATATACCAGTGGTGAGTCTTACAAGATACCAAAACCATCTGGTGATAGTCTGTTTATGCCCAAGATTTGCCTAAATCCTTCTGTTATCTACCACACTGTAGCAGTAATCTTGACATCTTTTCATCTCAATATTAAATTAATGGAATCATTACACCTTTAGACTACCGCTCCTTAACAGCAAGTCTTGCCCCAGCCAATTTCTCAAGAGTAAAGCAGTGACTGATGGTGCTTAATACCGCTGAAGTGAGCTACAACCTTACAACCCTACTTTGTAAGCTAAAGGTCCACATTTTTCTGGCCTAAAGAAACAGGATGCAGTTTAATCACACCAATTTAAACACAATGGCATCTTTTCACACTTTGGTATTAGATGATTTACTAAACATCTCATCAGATACTAAGCCACTAATAACTAAATCATATGTTCTCACAAACTAACGATAGTCATATCTTGTTCCAAAGCTACAGATGTGTTTTAGACATGGAATGTGATTTCTAGTACTACACACAAAAGCAGTTCTTAATTTCTTCAACGCCAGGGAAACTTAACAGCCCTCGCTGGGAATGGGAAGGTCCCCACTGCTGTGCTTTCTGTGCCAAAAATCCCCCAGCTGCTGTACAAGGCCTAGAAATATGCCTAAACAGGAAGCACAGGTCAAAAGATCAGCAATGCTAACTGTCGGCAAGCTGACCCCTGTGGAGATCAGCAACAATCGGTCAAATATTTAACTATTTATGTACAAGCCATCTTGAAGTGAAAAACAGGTTAGGCAAACAGCACTATGCTCCAGCTCAAATGGATGGTAAGGGTGGCTTTGGCCCTTGAGAACCAAAGCACGCTACAGACATACGAATAAATATAGATCCATGGACTGGATTCAAAGACTGCAAAAAAATTTCAACTGAAAAATACTTCCTATAAAAGGAGCAAAAGAAATTGTTTCCATTTCCATAAGCAACAAAACATAATCAACCTATTGAGTAAAACCACATCCTCCATGCTAGCTGCCAAGTCTATGTTCTTGAAACACAAGTTATTAAAGGCCCTGTAAAAGTTTTTAAAATACTTAAAATTTCATATTATTAAATAATTTTAGATTGATTTCTAAAATGCAAATGTTTTCCAAAATGTTGGAATGGAACTGTTTTTACATTATGAGGAATACATAAATCTGTTTCAATTAAATTGGCACGCTCATTGCTATGCGACCACATAAAGCTGCCCAAGCTCCCCTTCTAATAAATCGAGGACGATGTTAGCTGTAACAATGTGTGATAAGAGCTAAGCTACTTCAAGCAACTTTCAAAAAACATCAAAGTATTTCAGTAATAAAAAGCTTAATATGCAATTCTGGTGGATTGGCAAACGCTGAGGCATCATAAAGATCTGGAACAGAGCAAAAAGAGCAAAGAATAGATGGAAACTGTAAGCCTATCTCTCTTCTCACTTAGAATATCAGAAAAGACAGTTATTTTTACAGTAAGTGTGCTGTGAAGCTCAGCAGTTTGTCAGAAGACAAATGGGTCTTCTCCAACAACTAACGAACAGTCCAGCTGCTTTGTCCCTTCAGCCATAGGACAGGTTTAACGTAAAAGCCTTCAAGCAGGAAAAATTGGGAAGGAAAACATCCTTGGGGCACCAAGAGTGCTGTAGACAATCAAAAATTTTGTATCTAAATTCGTGAGTAAATGGATAGAACCCATTATTTTCAGCATTCTTTTTTTTTTTTCCAAAACACTTAGCACCCACAAAAACTTACTCAACTTATTCAGCTGAGTTATCATTATTTTCACTCTACATTTGACTCGTACTTATGAAAGCAGATTAAGAAGCAATAAATGCAGCTCACAGAAAATACACTGGCAGTAACCTAGAATGGACATGAAACAGGTTCATTTTGTAACTTGAAACTCAAGTAAAATTTTGAAAGGTAGAGGGAGTTTCACTTAAGAACTATCTTGTTAAATATCTTTTAAACAGTTAACTTTTCTGAAATTAGAAAGGCAATTGATGACAGATGTTCTAGACATCAGTATGTAGTAGAACTTCTAAGTCAGGCTACTGAAAACCACCTACCTGGTGGAAATGCGGCTGAACACAGCATTGAAGTTATTACAGCTAAGAGAAAAAAGAACCCCAGAGGCAGAATTTCGTAGTTCAGCTGCATGCTGGTTCCCTTCACGGTAAGTGTGGATGAAATGGCAGATTTCTGGCAGCAACTGTTTTACCAGCATAGTCTCATCTAGTCGCATGGTATCCTTTGGTTGCTAAAAATAAACATTCAGTATTTCATGAAATTCAGCTTTCTAGGTTTTGAGGCAAAAAAATGGAGCATCTGCCACTAGTAGGCACAGGACCTGAATCTGAACTTGTCATTCTGCATGCAGGCTACCACTAGCCACAGCACAAGTACTCTACACAGAAAAGGTTTCTCTCCATCTGAACAATAACCCGTATCATTCAAACCATCTTACATTTTCAGTTAAGTCACCAAAATACGTAGGACACCAAGTTGATCAATGTCATCAAGTATCAAGCAAAATATCAAACTAGTTTTCAAAGTAAAACACATTTCTGTTTTGATGACTGCACCCTGCTGTTCTGTGTAAAGTATTAGCAGTAGAGCATTAACTACCTAGGCTTTGAATGGAAGCTCAAAGGGCAAAGACCCACCCTTACTTCTCTTTTGGATAGTATTCTAACCAGCGAATTTTTAATATAAAAAAGTTAACTGGAAGAGAGATGCTTCTCCCTTGTTCTTGCCTGGAATTGCTCTAAATGAGTAGAAAATGGCTTAACTTTCCTGCAAAAGAAAAATCTAATTTTTGCCAGTTTGCACAGTATGAGACATAAGGAAACTATTTACAAAAGAATTCAAAGTGAAACTTTGCTCTACTAAGAGCAAGTTTGAACAGAAGGGTCAGCATTAAAGCTTTCTAAAATTCTACCAATGAATTTACCACAGGGAATTGGGAAGTTTCAGAGACTCCCACTTAGTTGACCTGAGTCCTGTTGCCATGAGAGCTCGATGAAACATTGAGCAAGAACAGCGAGCAAGAAATACGTCTGAAGATATCGCAGAACACAACGCTCTTTGTATAGAACTTTGGCTCAGTCTTATTAAACATATACTGGCTCAACGGGCTTTCATCTGAATTGACAAAGCAAGAAGTATTCTACACAATTTTAGGCTGTTCAAATATCATCTATCAGGAAAAAGCCACTAACGTTTCAAACAATATCCACATAAGAAATATTTTAAAAGAATTGATTTCTGAAGTCAGAACAGATTTTTTTGACTCTCTGCATCAAAGACACAAAAAGTGCCAAAGAGAGGTATTTACCACAGCTGTAAAAGCTGGTAATTATTCTGGAAAATGTATTTCCTGGATCTTTTGTGAATTTAGAAGAATCCACAATTATTCGGACTGGTTTAGTACCATAATATAAGATATGCCGCTTGATAAATCTAACCATAATAAGGTCATTACCTTATAAAGAAAGAACCTTCAAAAACTGTTGCAGGGAAACAGCAAAGAACTTAGATGATTTCATGACATTCATCCAGGAATACAGCTTTAAAAAAAAAATTCCTTTCTTGTTAAAGGAATAAACCATCACAAATTTTGCTCACAGTAAGTTTGGCTTTGCAATTACACAGTTTAGCAGCATCAGTTGTACAACCGTTTACATCCCAAAGGTAATAGCCAACTGCCTTGCAGCACGGCTCTGATTGGAAACCTCGGGACTGGGCTCCCAGTGGAAATTTGGACATGGTTAACTAATGTAATCTAGGAAACACCTGCAAAAGTAATCTTTAGAACAGAGATAGCACAGTTTCTGCTGTATATACAAGTACATGAAAAAATACTTCAACAAATGGAAGTTTTAAGAAATTGAAAGAAAAATCAACACTGTATGCAGAAAACTTAGTAGCATAAAACTGAAACACTTGTACTGCATTAACATGATTTACTATGCCAACACTTATTCTGTTTACATTGTGGGATGAAAGTGTTTTAATGCATCTATTCAAAAAATACTGAGAAGAATATGCCACAAGCATTCAAAGCTTATAAAAATGTAGCAAAGCTTCATAACCACATCTAATTCTTCATGTGGGTTTGCATCTTCCCTTACTCCAGTTCACACATGTCTCTCAGTACGGTTGTCTGCAATTCTTTCTAACAAATTATTAAAATAAAATCATTATTTATAACTCCACAAATTACTTGAGTAGCAGGAGGGGCAAATTCAAAAGTTTACTCAAATCTATTCAGCCGAAAAGAGATCACTAGTTTGAGGCAAGAAAAAAGCACCCCACAAAACCTTAATTTATCAGTTATATCAACTCCTTGCATTTATAGGACGTTTTAGTATTTTTTAAATGGCATTAATCCTACTTTGCTCTAAATCAGAAGAGTTTTAACTTTAGTACCAGTAGTTATAGATACACAAGCATTTGACTTGTACCCTCCAACTTAGCAATTGCTTATGCAAGCCTACTCACCCCTGCCAGACATTTTTCCAGTGTATCCAAGATAATCAGCTGAGATAGATATAAATTCTTTTCAGCAGTTTCTCCAAATATTCTCTAAAAGTAGAAAGGATATGGATTCATCTGAGACACAGACATTTGACTTGTAATGCATTAATGTAGCAAAGTGGCACAGGAAGTTATGGCTCTTTTACTGCGCTGGTTTTGAGTTTCAAAATAAAGCCAGTAAAAATTAGATTAAAATAGGAATTAAAACCTTATCACTGAAGAAGTATCTTTGTCCAGTCTGCAATGCCAAATCTAATAAGGAATAAACAGCTACCGCAAAGTAGGGCTGGAGGTACACTGCAGCCCCTTACCTTTATCAGGCCTATAATTTATTCAGAAGTAAAGGTTATACCTTTTCAGAAACTATTTTGGTATCAATTACTCCTGACTCTTTTCCAATTATGTATTTCATTCCCAACATCTTAACAGAACTGATGTTACAACAAATCCATATCGACAAGCTTATTAGAGTGTTGCAAAATATAGCGCAGACCATGGAAGAAACACAAGACCCTGCAAAAAGATGCCATACTTCAGATACAGGCTGAAGGCACAGTTCCATCAGGCGTTTAACCTAGCACCCAATTTTACTGCCAACAATAGGGACTAGCTCCAGCAATATTAAGACAGCAAAATAAAGCAGAAAAGATTTAGCCAAAAATATATTGGCACTACTGCCTACACATGGAACATGTGTAGAAGTCACCCAAAGGAAGTTGTATTTTAAACCACCAGAGAGGCTAGCTCAACTAAGTCTAAGTTTCAGCAGAGTGCAAACCCTCAAGACTTCTTTCTAAATTAAGACCATTATGACAGTCTATGGGTCTAGTTTGTTTCAGCTGTAGAAACCCTTCAAAACCATTGCTGATTCATACAGTAGCTCAGTCCATCAAACATAAAAAAATGTTAAGTCTTGCTCCTCAGTGCAAAGCAAATGTTGCCTTTTTAAATTGACATTTTTAGCTAGGTCTTTCCTCTCAAAATTTATATATCATATGCGGAAACATGTTTTAACTGTATAGTTTTCTCCCAGCAGCAGGGCAACCTATTTTCTGATTTTATCAATCCGTTGCAGTGTTTTAGCAGATGCACTTCTCTACACAACTGACATCCAAGAACTTGCTGCCAACTATCTTACTAAAACCATAAAAAAACCATACTGCTAGAGTTTGGCCAGTTCTGTTACCTGTTTGTGGAGATTCCACATGATCACATATCACATGACTTCAAAACTCAAGGAACTAAACTTCTCTCATGACAAATCCAAAACCAGATCTTCCATTAAAAAAAAATTCAAACCACATCTTTCTCCGCATAAAGGATCCTAAACTTTCCATTTACCCAACTTGATGGTAATAGTTATTTTTCTAGAGTTGACACTACGGACATCCACATTCTTTTTTTTTTTTTTTTTCCTTTTCTAGCTTTTTCTTTGGTTCCACTGAGATCTATTTTAAATGCCAGTTTTAGTGATGCTGATGAGTCAAATACTTTGATGGATTTCAGAAATCATTTTATTGTTCCCTTGGAGGCAGGAGAGAAAACCAGTATGTAGAAGGAAACCATCTACTAAGACACCCAGCTCTAAAGATTTCTCTTTGGGAACTCGTAGAAAAATCACGTTCAATTTCATCCCTTCACACCATTCTGCTGCCCTCAAGTATCAACATCAAGTGGTTTAATGAGAGGCTGTGATCCATATCAAACAATAAATGGAAAAGATGTGTATCACTCCCACACATTTTTCATTCTTTTTTCTTACCAACTGGGAAGGTATCCCTTCACAGGTGTGAGTCTATCGTGGCAGTATTAGACAAGAGACTGTTTTCAAAGACTTTTCTTACAAGGTTCTGACTGAAATTCATGTACTTGTTAAAACAGGTATCTATTTGATATGTACACACAAATGCTAAAGCATCCAAACAGTCCGGAAAATTCAAATAGCCTAAGTTTTAAATCCTCTTCCTTTCTTTTTTCCTTCTTCTTTTCCCAAAACGATTCCTGGCAAGTCATACTCTGGCCAGACAGATGAGGGGAAATACCCAAAACAACTCCTAGTGCTGCTGCTCAGCAGCTCCTTTGCCCGGCTGCATTCCTCCTCTGAAGACTTTGCTAGCACTGCTTCCCTAGGTAACTGAAGCACCTTTCCATGCAATGGAGAACATCCTCCCCCTTGCCTCCCAACAAGCAGCGCATTCTGCCAGTATCTACATATTGCTCAGGGACCCAAGGTGGTAGTAGGTGCAGTCACGTCCCCACTCATTAGGTAGCCACAACTTCCCAGCTACAGACCGTTCCTATGACTAACGGGAGATTCCTCCTAATCACCACCTCCCTTTAGATTTCTCTGCCACAACTACCTCATTGCCTTTGTACGTAACACGGCTAAGTGCTGCTGGTGAACTTTAGCACATGAGGATGAAAAGAAAAAAAGTGTAAAAGGCAACCAACAATTTGACTAAATTTCAAGTGACTCTCTGCAGATTGTATCATATGAATAAATAACAACCATTTTGAAAAATCACTCAACAATCCACAATTGGAAAACTTACCATGTTATTAACATTTTTTAAGATATTAGTGAGACCACTGATGACCAGGGAAAACTTGTACTTGGAAATGTTTATGAGACATTCCTTGTTGTGCTCCGTACTGACTTTGGTGTGGGTATTCTGCTGGGCAGCCTTTATTGGAAGCTGCAAAGAAAGATAAGTATTATAAGCTTTTTTACAGTGAAATTACCTCTTTAAAGATGGGTTAAAAATTCTTGAGACACCAGAAACAACCTTGAAAAACATTCTACAAGAGACAACTACAAATGCATTATTTCATTTTCTCTATATCCATCTTTCTATTAGTTATCCATAAAACAAAATACTAAAGTTCACTTATTCCTTTTTCTGAATTGAAACTAAACCTCTATTTTGTGATAAATTTTCTACAAATCAAATGTCAAAGCAATCAAAAGGAGCAGAAAACTGTGAGTAAGATAGAATTCTGAGAAGAAAAGTTTCTTTATGCCAAAAATTGGCTTGTTAAATAAAAAAAAAATCTTCAAAAAGCTAATACTTGCAATAAAAAACTGCATCTTGAAGCCTGAGAGGGGAGAAATCACAATAGCTCTCAAAGCAGGTGAGTTGGAAGGTGGTAACAGTGGTTCCATGTGTGTCCTCTACTCCTTCGCAGGACAGAACTGGCCAAGAGGTGCAAGCGAGTTCCCAGAGGAGCCACCACCGGCAGCCACCTCAAGCCCTGCTGCATCCCATCTGCCCCAGGACTTGGGTTACCCCTGGCTAACCTGGCTAACCAGCTGGCTGGTTAGCCCCACTGCCAGCCAGCTGATGAAGTCTCAGCCTCACACACACTTGAAGCACGTGCGAGCCAATCACAACTTGCGAGCCCCACATTACCTACCCTTGCCCAACATCCAGCAGTAAAAACTAGCCTTGAAATGCAGATTTTCCACAAAAGATAAGATTCAGAGTGACCGCGCAAAACTGAGATGCTGCTCCGACTGTGTGAACACTAGACACTTTGTTTCATGCTGCATCCAAATTCTTCAAGAGTCACAAACGAGTCACTTCCCAAGCATGCACTCACTTCCCTGCACGCTCCTCATTGGAGTTGGCCCCTTAGGAGCCACCACGCGAAAACGTGAGAAATGATTCATTGGGAAAATTCATTTTACTGAATTTTTACTGATTTGTATTTTTAAAAAGCAACCAAATGTGGGAACAAAAAAGGAATCAATATTATCACCTCTTTGTATAAGTCACATGTGCCATTTGTATTTTAAAGTGTGAGCTAGGAATTCACTATCTACAGAAATTTTAATTGCTACTACAAGTTTTAACCAATTTTGACTTGAATTCTTGATAAATGTGTATTCTGAAAGACACTCATAGCTCAAAGTAAATGCCACAATGTAATATTTTGCATTAGGCTATACTTAAAATAATTTTTAAAAAGATAATTTAAGAGAGGTTAAAAGAAGAATTCCAAGGAATTGCAATCAGCTTTACAGCTGCAAAAAGCTTACAGGGCAACCTTCTGGGTTGGGGGCCTCAGTATGTTCCATACTGTCAGCAGGCATGAACATCTCTGCCAGCCATTTAACATCACTGTCTTTGTTGATAAAGGTTTAAAGGCCCATCTTTAAAACGCTAGATGAATTGTATTAAAGAACCCCAAACTCGGAACATTTTTTTTCCACAGTTTTGACTGCATCATTAAATGCATTCTGCTTAACAGTGACATCCATTTGTAGGGAA